TGGGATAATTTGGTTCTCAGGGCTGCTTCTTGACCCTCCTTTTCTTTGATAAAATAAAAAGCCATTTCAGAATCGCTTTACATTAGATATAGTGGTCATGGCTCTGAGTGAGACTTCAGGACCTGTAAGTTGTTCACCCCTAGGGTAACCTCGTAGGTTGGCGTGAATTAATTTTCCGTAAAAGACACTCAATTATAGTGTGTGTAGATGGGCACCCAGGATAGAAGTGACACACATGTCTTCAGTCCACACATGCAGGCAGTTGTTTGATCCTCCAAGTCTGCTAGCAGTAGGGCTGTTAGGAGTGCAGTCTAGACTCAGCACAGTATTTGGTCTGAAGCATTGCCTTGCCTGCCCTCCGTGGCACAGTGACAGACGTGGTGCTTCTGTGTTGGAGTACTAGGAGAAGGGACACGGGATAAGCTTCCTTCCTCTGTCACTTAGTACTTTGGACCCTGGGTAAGCATTGACCTCTCCAGCCCCAGTTTTCTCTTGTACAGAAGTAATGTCTTTCTAAGCCGTTCCCAATGTAGTAGGGGTCTCAGTAGCAGGTGTATGTGGAATCATGTCCAGGGGAGCTCGACGAACGCTTTGATTCAGACAATGAAAATGATCATCTTTATCTGTGTCGGCCAACCTTAAATCTTCTAGCAATTTTTAATCCTTTGATTTACGGATACTGTGAAGTGTGCAGTGTATTTCAGAGTTGACCCCCAGTGGTTCTTTAAAGAATTTCTCAACGAATAAGCAAGAAGTATATTTTAAAAACTAAAATCTCCAGTTTAAACCAAAAGAATCTTACATTTAAAAATAACATAGTTTTTGGTGTTGAGGTACAATTAATAAATAGAGAAATGGATATTGATTTATTTTGCCATAATAATGACACATTAATATTCATGAACCCGCAAAAAGGATGAGATGCTAATATTAGAAACACATTAAATATCTAAGCCAGATCTCTTGAAGCTTCAGCATGAGACAGGCATAATCATCAGAGTTTGAACGTTGGTCTATGGGTTTTTAACATGGTCACAAGTCACTGGCACACAGATGACCATTAAATAAAACTATGTCAGCTTTGTGCCTCACTGCTGTGCACTGTCTACGTTTTTGTCTCTGTTGATGACATAGTTTTTGCAGTCTTTTATAAAGATTTATTCTTATTTAATTTGTATGGTTTTTTTTTTCGCCTAACTATGTATCTATGCACTATATACATGCAGTGCTGCAAAGGCCGGGAGAGGACTTTGGCTCCCCTGGGCCTGGAGATGTAGATGGTGTGAGAACTGCATGTGGGTGGTAGGATCTGAAACTGGGTCCTCTGCAAGAGCAAGCACTCTAAGGTGCCAAGCCCTCTCTTCAGCCCCATGCATCGCAGACTTTATTTTCATCCATTATGGGTACACATGTGAAGCGGGAGAGAAGCTGCTCTCCCTGTGTCTGGAACGACTTAGAAGCAGACTCCCTTTGTTCATTCTGTTCTTTCTAGATTGGGGAACCCTGTCCCTTTACAGAAAACAACAAAGGAAGAACGAGAAATGTGTCAGAAAGCTTCTTGACCATCACTTTGGAGTGTGACTTTGGTTAGGAAAGGATAGAAGAGGTTGGTAGAAAGAGGGAAACAGCCCATGCGACCTAACTTCCTGTTCCCTAGTTTTACTTTTGAATTATGCAGTGCTGTCTCAGTGGTTTGGGAGAAATGCTAATGTCTTCATGTAACCAGGGTTCCTTGTCTTCCCCATCCACTTATCAGCCTCTGTAAGAAGAGATGATGGGGGAAGTCCTTCTGTGTATATGTATTTGTCTTATTGGTTGATAAATAAAGCACTGTTGTCCAATAGGGAAGCAAAAAGCAAGATAGGTAGGACTAAGAGTTGAGGAGGATTCTGGGAAATGTAGTGAAGAGGGGTCGCCATGTGATCCCGGGAAGAGAGGATGCATGAAACTGTCGTCCTCCGTAAGATTTTATATATATTAGTAGTTATGGGTTAATACTTAAGACAGAACTAGCCAATGAGAAGCCCTGGACATTGACCAACAGCATTGTAACTGATAGAATCTCTGTGTGTTACTTGGGGTTGATGCGACACTGGGACCAGGCTGGCGGGAAGAGTTATCATAACTGGCAACTCCCCTTTGGGATATGTGTTAAGTGCCCCTCTCTTCATCCAGTTGAACAGACTGAGAGTTTGCCTCTCAGTTCGCACTTTAACAGCAACTGTAGCTACCACCTTCTGATGAAAACAGGCAGTTACTTAATTCCATTAGACGCTTTGCCTCCCTTGAAGACTCTTTTCTTATTCATTTTAAGTCTTGGTTGATTTAAAAGAAGCAGGTAGACACCAAGGAAGGTGAGCATTGTGGCGATTTTCTGCAGAGATACTGTGGATGCTTGTGTCAGGCTAACCAGTAAGTTATCATCTTACACATTACCTTAAAACACTCTGGAAGACAAACTCATTAGAGTTTAGAATAAAAATATCCCAGGACAAGCAAGCTACAAACCTCAGAAACTTCCTGGAGGAGCAGGATGAAGGGAAAGAAAAACTGGAATGCTGTTTCAGGTAGCATAGAGGTCAGACAGTGGCAGACAGGCAGCATGTAGGAGGGAGGGGAACTTGCAGCAGCTCCACTTGGGGTGGGGGATTCCAAGAAAGAGAATGGTAGCAGCTCAACAAAGGGAAAATTACTCCAGCAGTCTCATTCATAAATGAAGGTGAACCTGCCTTCCAAAGGGTGATACATTGGCCAGGTGACTCCCCACCAGCTGGAGGCCAAAGATTGTATTTGTAATGGATCTTGACTGGTTCTCTCATTTCCTCCACTCTGAAGAGGTAGGCCTCTAATTGTTTACCAAGTTCAGGAACCAGAGTCCAGACACTGACAAGGGGCTCAAGGATACTTTTTCCATTCAGCCGAGAAAGAAAGAGGTAACTTTTTTGTAGTAACATTATTTACATACATCTTTAAGTGACTCTGAAATTACTGTTGACTACAATTATCTTGCCATGAAATCAGCCTGGAAAAACAATCACTCCTGGCTTCCAATGGAAACTTTATATGTGCTTGAACTCCGTCTTTAACTGAGTGAGACAGAGCCAGCCAGCCACTGAGTCAGTTCTCCACACACAGAGCTCTCTATGGCTTTGGAACCTTTAGAGATCATTCCTGATTTCTTGTTCTTCATATTGCTTCCTGTAGCAATGGGTTTCCTTTTAGCTGCGTCCTTACGGTCATTCACTTTGAGCACTCTTAAGGTTTCAAATATGCCCTGTGATATAGTACAAACTTCCCTTTAAACACTGCTTTAACTGTACCCCACAATTTCTGATAAATTTTCATATTTTTGTTTTACCCAATTTTCCATGACCTTAAAAAAAATCTACGAATTATTTAGATGTACATAGCTTAGTTACTGAGTCTGTTGAGAAATTATTTCTAAGTTTGTTTTAGTTGCTAGAGAAGATGTCTTGTGCCTTACTATCCTATTGCTATGAGGGGCAACATGACCAAAACAGCCTATAAAGTAAAACCTTTAACGGGGGCCTGGCTTACCGTTTCAGATGGTTCATCCATGATCATCATGTGGGTCATGGCAGCAGGCCGGTAGGCATGGTACTGGAGCAGTAGCTGAGAGCTCACATCTTATCTGTAAGGTGGGGCAGAGAGAACTCATGGAGACTGACCCTCAGTGACCCTTCTCCAACAAAAGGCATGCAGTCCACAGTGTATGAGGCATGTGGTGACCATGAAGCCAGTGACCAGAGCTATGCTCAATAACAGCCTGAGGTCCTCAGGACACATAGTCCTCGGGGCTTTGCCTCTCCAATGCTCACTCAGGCGTGACTTTGCCAGCCGTCCAGCTGTGTCCCATGAGTTCCAGTGCTGCCTGCCGTTTCCCTCGCATGCCCCCTGATCTCCTTCCATACTGTCTCTTAATCTCCCATTACTTAATATATAGATGAAGTATTATTTATGTAAGTTGCACTTTAAAAACAGTGGATCTGTGGGTAACTTGTCTTGCAGAGGGTGATTGGGGAATGTCACATGATGTTTCTAAAGCAAAAGCACTTCAAATGACTGTTGAAGGACATTTTAAAACCACTTACAGTTTTGCTTCAATATGTTTGATTACCTGTTATGACTCATACTATACGTCCTAATTATGTTTCTGACTAATGGAGAAATAGTGCTTTAATGTAAAGATCCAAAATAATGTTAAAGTCTACTTCTGTCTCCTCCTCCCCACCCTCTCATTTTCTGTTTCCTTACTTTCCACTCCAACCTACCTCTTGCTTATTTCTTTTCCTTCCTTCTTCTAGTGGACCCGTTTACCATGCTAGCATTATGGTTGTGTGTGATTTTGCAGCTACCTGTTTTTACACACTGGTGTACTCCCTTCGTGCAGTTGCTTCCTGAACCCAGACAGATTGATACCGTTTGGCAATGGCATGTGTGCATCACTGGTCTTGCACATCCTAGTGGTGGTGTCCTTGATGCTTGTTGCTCCGTTTTACCATAGGGAGGGCTGGGAAAGATAGGAGACTATGGGCAGTGCCACACACAGAAGGCTGCAAGTCATAGTGTGTGCATGCATAAAAGTAATTCTTAGGAATGTGGTTCATGGAAGAGAATGCTTTCAAACATAAAAAAAATTGGAAAATTTTCATGATAAAGAGAAAGTGTGATGTACTATAACACAACTTTTTAAAAAGGACAGTAGCATAGTCATGGCTTTGTGGTAGGTACAAAGCACACTTTGTGTTACTTACAGGTTGGGAAAGCATCGTTTTGAAGCTGCATTGTCTGACAGAGTTTTGCTGCGATATTGATTTTGGTATCTGACAGTATGGTAACCTCTCTCGGATCTCTTGTGTCATGTTGAAGTTACAGCCTCTTAGTATGCTGTTGACTGCACTCACTTCTTCAAAGGAATTTACAGTAACTGTATTCTTGCCTGAGTTAACAGTTTGTCTTTTTCTGTTTTTTTACTGTAGGATAAGAAATGGATTCTCAATCATGAAGATGTTTCATTGGGAGCGTTACTGGGCAAGGTATGCAATCATCAAATAAGGAATTTTTATATTAGCCATGAGCACTTTATGTTGCTGTCCAAAGTGTTTTTAATACTCATCACATGCCATGGTGCATGTATATTAATTGACCTAGAAGAACTGAGTATTGACTTTCCCTGAGATAGATTGATAATCCTAGAAAGGCATATGATGATTCTTAGCTTTAAAAATAGTGTATATTTTTCATGGAATGTCAAAGCCATAATGGTTTATTAAACCCCCAAAAAAAAACCTGTTGAATGAAGGGAAGAAGCCGTGAGGTAGGGAAAGTTTGAATGTAGTCACCCTGCTTCCATCTGTACACAGTGACTCAGGAAAAGTCAAGTCTTGCTTCATGGAATATCAGGAAAGTTTATAACACTACACTATCCTGGTGTAGATATAATGTGGGTCAGGGCCGGGGACATGGTGTAGGGTAGAGGCGCTTGCCACCAAGCCTGGCCACCTGTGTTCAGTACCAGGAACCTACACCGCAGAAGGAGAGCACCGACTTCTGACGTCTACATGTGTGCTATGGAACATGTGCACTCCCCCACCGGAGAGATGGGGGCGGGAGAAGAAGGATACGTTATTTAAGTACTGTGGGCAAGATGTGTTGCACTTCAAGTACCTGTTTTGTAACTGGCTCTGTTAGTGGTGGTACAGGACCAGTCTTATAGAGTGAAAGTTCCTTTCCCTGCATTCTAGTTGGAAGGTTCCTCCAAGTCATCGTCCATACTAAGATGCCTTGTTTCCAGCAATAAAGACAGGCTAGCCAGATAGACTTCACAGATCATTATTGTTTGGGTTGTAGTGAATGAATAGCAGTTTGTCAGTGACTTAATTGTGGATGTTTCTTGTGTGAAATTTGAGTTGGATTTAGCTTCATGAAGCACCGTGAAAAATAAGGCAAAATTCAGATACTGTTATTGGAAAGTTTTTGTATAGTTTATGAGTGCTCAGTGCTAGACTGGTATTTAAGAAAAGTAATGATCCATTTTTATTCAAAAGTGAACTTGACCATTTCTTCCAATTTTCAAAAGAAACATGCAGTTTATTAAGACCATGGGTCCTTTTTGAAGTCCTCTCCTTTGCAGGACTTGTAGCACTTGCTATTTTAAATGCCTTTTCCAAATGGAAGCATCTAGTTGCTATTGGAAAATGGTTTTTATTTGCTAAGACGTTTTTTAGTAAATTAATTCTAAAGAACCTAAGTTGAAAGAAGGCAACTATGTTTACTCTGAGGTACTCCCCCATTTTGGAAGGAATTAGTCCTAAACATGGTAACAGTAATGCTGGGTTAACCCAACAGAAGCAGTGTGGTCAAAAGTTATTACAAAGAAACTAATTTCCTTAAATACAATTAAATGATAAATCTCAAAACTGAAACACTGAAGTAGACTATTTACAAGGATAGATCTTTTTCAGTACTGAGCAAAAATATTTTAATTAAAGAAAACATTCTAATTTTTTGTTTGCTTTGAGGCAGGGTCTCATGTATGGCCCTGGCTGTCCTGGAACTTACTTTGTAACCAGGCTGGCCTCGAACTCAGAGTTCCTTATGTCCCAGCCTCCCAAGTGTGGATTAAAGTCATGCACAGCCATATAGGCTTTGTGCATGTATGCATGTATGTCTACAGTGTGTTTCTAATAATTTTATGTTGGTTTTCATTTTAAGTATTAAAATTCAATAAGAATTTCGCTTCTTACTGAGGCTATTTTATAGAATAATTACTTTTTAATGACTAGGCATGAAAATCTCAAATATTTTAAAGAAAATGCTTTTAAAGAGATTATTTAGCTTAACTTTATGTGGTATTTTAAAATCCTAGAACATAATTTGTCATTAATATCTTGCTACTTTCCTGAACACTTATTGTACACTGAGAATGCATGAGTAGGTAAAGCACAGTCAAGTCTTCAGTAGTAATAGTGGAGTAGTGGCATAAACTAACTTTTTCATGCAACACCACGTAGCCTTACACAGTAGTTACTCTACAGTTGCTGTTTACGTCATCCAGCATTTACTGTGCCTGTGACGTGTCACGCAGTCTCCTGGGTGCGTGGTGACTGTACATGAACTCACAGAGACAATCCCTTGTGCCTGCCATGCCTCTGCTCTGACCAGCAAGGGAAGGACAGGTAACTGAAGCCCGGGGATGAGCCCCTTTATGTTAGAGAAAGGGGAGCAGGCTTGGGGCTGCTTGTTAGTCAGTGCTGCCATTCTTAAAAGGAACAGGCAGATCTCATTCCTGGTTACCTTTGAATTAAAACTTGTCTGTAACACCACTGAGCTGCGTGGACAGCTGACAGTGAGGGTTAGGCAGAGTGATTAGCCCGTGCAGAGCTCACCTGCCCAGCAAAGGACGAAGTTGGGTTGTGATGAACAAGTAAAGGGGATCGCAGGAGGAGGAGTCAGCAAGGTGGCGGGACACGCATCATGTATGGCGGGCCTGGATCTCCTAAGGCCTTTAGCGTTGACCATGAAGGCAATGTGGAGCTGTTGGAGTCCTAGTAGAGCAGGATCATTACACCTTGCGAGGGTGTCCCCGGGCGTTAGAGACGTGCAGTTAGGGGATGAAAACCGATGCCAGCACAGGGCTTAGTTGGGAGGTAATAAGTTTAGATCTATGTTGAAGTTGAACCCGTTGTGTATCTCAGTGGATGTTGTAGGGACTGAGAGAAATATAGAAGCCAGTTCCAAGTGTAGCAGGCTTCTGGAAACAAAGTTGAAGGCGTGAAATACATCAACTTTATCTATTAGATTTCTACAAGACAGTAAGGAAAGCCAGTTGGGTAACAAGTGCTGAGATTGAACAAGATAACTGCTCCAGAATATAAACTGAGTATTTGGGAGTGGGCATAGATAAAGAGGGTCAGAACTGAGCGCTGGTCGTTCCAGCACCAAGAGGCAAGGGGAAGAGAAAGCAGTCCTCAAAGGAAGTTGGAACAAACGATCCAACTAGGAAGGCAGAAAACCAGGAACTTTATTATGCCTTAGAAACTAAGAGGGGAAGCTAACCCAGGGAGGGTAGACTGCTGCCGGGAGTCGGGAACACCAGACTGAGCATTAACCACGGTGCTGGCCGGAATCGGGAACACCAGACTGAGCATTAACCACGGTGCTGGCGGGAGTCAGGGGAGCACCAGACTGAGCATTAACCACGGTGCTGGCGGGAGTCAGTTGCAAGATGCCAGTGGCGGTGGCTGGGCAATTTTGTTCCAACGCAGTCTGAGTGATTTAAGAGAGGCCCAAGGTAGCAAGGCTGTAATTTTGACTCTGCGGCTAAAGGAAGCAAAGGCGTAGGCGGCTACATCGAGAGTCACTCTGTAAGAGAAAGAATGGCGTGCGAGTCTGTAGCTGAGAAAGAACTCATTGAAGGTTTTAGGATCTGAGTGTGTATGAATTGCTACAGCTGAGTAAGGCCAGCATGAGATGCTCACAGTGGAACACGAACTCTTAATGTTTACACATAAACACAACATCACATTTGAAACTCAGGGAGGGAGATGGGTGGCAGATGTGACTCGGAGTCCAGTAACTCCATGGAGATGACTTGGTTTATTTTCGTTTTGCTGGAGAAGCAGCATCATCAGCTAAGAATGAGGGGAGTGTTGAAAAGAGAGGAGAGGCCAAACCAGGTATCCAAAGACTGGGACTGTAGATTACCTAAGAAGTAGCCCAGCCGCATCGAGGGCCCTAAAGGTTTTCGTTCATGAATTTGCAGTTGATTCGGTAGCAGGTTACGGTAAAGTCATGTTGGAGTGGGTTGCGTGACAGTGACACTTGAGTGCGAAGGGAAACATTTTCAGGGGATGGAGAAGCATAGTGGAAACAGCTGGAAGGCCGTCTCAGAGCTGGGAACTCTGTGGACAGAGACGAGAGTTTAAAGCCGGTAATGAGAGCTGTAGTGTGGCTTTCTTCTCTTCCTATATGCATTGACTATAAGGCATCTGTGTCAAAGAAGGCGCTAGCTATAGAGGGAGGTTAGCAGTGTCCATACATGTTCACCGTTGGTGACACTGACGCTTGAGGAAGCCCCCTCTCCACCCTGGTCCACACCTTTTCTGCAGCAGCCGTGGTTGTTAGGATCCATGCCAGCAGTTCCCTCTTTCCAACCACAGTGATCTTCAATGCAATAGAATGTGGTGCTTGAGGGATAGAAGAAAACTTACATACTCAAGGCGGTGTCGGTGTTGGGTTCCCGTGTTGTTGGAGCCAAGCATTAGATTAACGACAGTTTTCTCTAGCAAAGACTAACTTGTGGTACTGTGGAAGAGGGATGCCCATACGCATTACAACCCAAAGTTTGTAGCTAACAGCGCAGTGCTTTAGTTAACTCAGAATACTTTGTTTTATGCTTTGCCAACAATGCTTGTATTCTTCTTTTCAGGGGAATTTTGGTGAAGTATATAAGGGCACACTAAAGGATAAAACTGCTGTCGCTGTTAAAACATGCAAGGAAGATCTTCCTCAGGAGTTAAAAATCAAGTTTCTACAGGAAGCCAAGTGAGTTCCTTAAAAATATACAAAATGTGTGTTTATAATGCATTGCATTTACCATTCCGCTGTATTAAATTCACTGTGAGGTCAGTTTCGGAACAGCGCCTAAGCTGTGATTTGCTGACGTAGAAGTCAGTACCTTTAGAACCTTCTGGAGTGGTGTGGGAAGTTTCTGGCTTGAGATAGCCTGGAGCGCAGTTAAGCAGGCGTGATAACAATGGGTCATCAACAGCATAACTATTCTCTGGGTCTTTAAAAATACCACAGCACCTTTTATTTTACCTCACATGCGTGTTTATATGTAGTGCTATAGTTATATTTGCAATAAAGCATTACTAAATACATATCTTGTTTATACCTTTACCTATATTTACATTTCCTTTACTCTTGCTGGCTGTTATAAATTTGATTCCTTTCCCAAGAATCTCAGATTTCTTTTTCTGTTTTGGGTCTGGCATTTGTTAAACTTTTCTCCCCCTCTAAGTGGCTTTCTTCTCTATCTGATATTCTTACCTGAAATTGAATGGCCCATCTTACCTATCCCTGTTCTGCATATAGTTAAAACTAGTCTGCTGTTTATAAAATCAAGTATGCCAATGATATATCTGAAATACTAAAATGTAATCTGAACGGAGTAAGACAGATAAAAGTATTGGAGAGGTGACTGGAATGATGGGTGGGTGGCTGGAGAGGCGAACAGAGGAGATGGCGGTGAGAAGGGTTAGCTTGTGGCCTGGGTGTCTTCATGCATCTCAGTCATCATCTACATATGTCTATGGCCGTATAGTGAAGTTAAATATTGAGTACTTAAATGCTGTGTAAGCAATGGAGTTGTAGTCCTTTAATGTACATTATTGGAAATCTCATTAGTTAGCAGGTATTCTTAGGGTGAAAGGCTTCATTTAACATTGCCTAAAAACATTTTTCTTACTTTTAAACTTGTGGTTATTTTGCAAACTAAAGTTTAATTTCTCTTTAACTGGAATTATGAAGTTTGATACTAGAAATGTATGTTCTGTCCACTCATGCTTCTGAGTACTCCTTCACAGACATGACATCATGCAGCTGGCTGTTCTGTGCGTTTCTTCATTGCCGTCTTCCAACCTCACAAATGCCGTTTTGGTTTTTGTTTGTTTGGTTGGTTTGGTTTTTCCAAAACAGGGTTTCTCTGTGTAGCCCTGGCTGTCCTGAAACTCATTTTGTAGACCAGGCTGACCTCAAACCTGCCTTTGCCTCTGGGATGCTGGGATTGAGGGTGGGCACCACCAACACCCAGCAGCATTTTGTATTAAAGTCAAAGATTCTTGAAAGTTGACTTAATTTCTATTAGAAATTTTGCTGTGTCATCCACAGTATTTATCTCTAGAATTTTTCCTAATTTTCATTTATGAATCATTATTTTAAATCTAAACTGTTTTTCTTAGGATTTGTCTGTCTGTGGTTGTGTTTGCACAGAATACGTTTTTGTCTATTCTTTACGTTTTCATAGCAGAGAATGTCGAAATTTTCCCACAGGAGTGAATCATGTCAGAATAAAAGGGTCTAAGGGATTTCTTCCATTTTTAGGCCATGCTTGTAGCTCTGCTAAGGATTGCTCTTAGCATGAAACCGCTACTGGAATATTTTTCCAGACTAACTCCACACCAACTCAGCCTTAGTCCTTGTGGAAACTCTTAATTTGGTCACTTCTGTTAGCCCAGTTCTTTAAACTCTGGTTTCGGCATTTGTAACTGTCATGGAGTGAGGTGACGCCTGTAACATTTGCCAGTGGGTGATGATGATTTAAGGATGACTAGATGTTTTAAGGTGAATTCCATGTATCATTCCTAATTAAGCCTGATTATTAAGCATTGGCACAGGTACCAATTTTTAAATGATTATTTAAGATGGCCACCTCATTTGACTTGTGCTGGGTTGCCCATATTTATCAATACCTATTGATATGTGTCTCTCTCATCAGAACTTCAAGGTATACTGATAATTTATGTGTGTCTCTTATCAGAACTTCAGGGTATACTGAAAATTTAAAAATGAGTTCTGATTAATATATATTCTAATTGCATAGTGTTATAAGTATCAAATTAAAGCTTTGTTTTATTCAACTGGTAACTTTTTATACTTTTTTTCTCATGTAGAATTCTCAAGCAATATGATCACCCCAATATCGTGAAACTTATAGGCGTGTGCACACAAAGACAGCCTGTCTACATCATTATGGAACTAGTCCCAGGTAACGCTACTTTAAGTGGTTAATTGATGACATTTTAATACCACGTTTTATTGCATTTTTACATTCAGTCTCTTTGATATTTCCTTGTAAAGTTTCCAAGGAGTTTTGCATAACATTTCCCTGGTAACAAAGCCTACATATATACTCAGTATTTTTTTATAGGCCTTTAGATGTTTCTCTTTTCTAGAAAGTGTCAGGCAGCATTTCTTGAGACACATTTATTAGAGTGCAGTTACCCACAGAGTTCAGTTGCGTATAATGACTATGTGTGAAAGGGTGTTTGGAAAAGTGAGCATTAGTGTGACTTGACAGCTGGCCTTACACTTCGTCCTTGTGTCATTTCAAAACCCGTCTCCACACTCGCCTTGTGATGAGAATGCTCATGGTGCTTCGCCATGCTTGTGAATCACGTGCTGCTTTCTCGTGTGGCTGGTCCGAGGGTGAGCTGTCTGGAAATCTTCTCGGGACACTTTCCTGGCTCTAGTTCTTTAACAACTTGTAGCAACCAACATGGGTGACCTTAAACTGACATAGTATGTTTAGTATGTTTAAGGTTTTTCTTGTCATCTTTCTTCCTTTTGTGGACATCTACAGAGAAAAGCTTTGATCCTGATGCAGTCTACAGTGCTTCCCAACCAAAAAGGGTTGCTTTACCCTTCCAGTGCCTGCCTCGCTTGTTTAAAAAGAAGAAATCAAATGAATATAAACATTATTTGTAACTGCAGTTTCAATCGCTAGAGTAACCCTAGTGTTGTAGATTCCCTGGTAAATATGGCCTATAGGAAGCATACTCCCACTGTCTCAGGTTAACATCCTGTTGAAGATGGAGGTCTCTGTCCCGCCTGGTTCTACAGCCACTTTGCAGCCCTAAATAACCACACAGAGACATATCAAGTATTAAACTGTTGGCCGATTGCTAGTGCTTTTTACTGGCTAACTCTCTCTTAATTATTAACCCATTTCTATTAATCTATGTGTTTCCACATGGCCTTATCTTACCAGAGAAAGCCTGGTGCATCCTACCTTCCCAGTCTCTACATGGCGTCTCTTCCTGGTGGCCTCTCTGTGCTCTCCTCTTTCCAGCCTTCTCCTTGTCTCATAGCCCCGCCTGTCCTTCCTTCCTGCCTGCCTACTGGCCAAGCAGTGTTTTATTCATCAACCAATGAGAGAAATGTATATACAGGAGGACATTCCCCATCATCCTGTCTTATCCCTCTACTTTTCTTGCTACTGAAGTACTCTAGCTGTTAACCTAACTGCAGCACACATAGATTATTACTAACTGTGAAAATGGCACTGTCTGTGTTAGGCGAACCATATGTTGCATCTGTACATGACAAGCACAGTCTAAAAGCTTAGGAGCAATTGAATCACATACAGTGATTATTAGAATAGGATGTTTGAGCCAAGTGTGTGCTAACATTTGTATGGATGCCAACGAAGCCCTTGATTAGTAAGAAATACTACCCAGAAGCTCAGACATGGGAGGTGGTGGACTGAACGTGAAGACAGGTAACTCTTGTCAGCAAGCATGTGCTGAATGCACCCAAAGACAGTGTGCACAGTCGCCAGGCACAGCAGTGCTGTGACAAGTCTGTCTGCCGCTCTGCACACGCGATGAAAGTGACCACCTGCTAGCCAGTGGGCCAGTGGTCTTTCTGTGCCCGGCCGGCATCGCTCACGTCTCGACTCTTTCTGCCACGTAACTTGTGGATGACGTCACCTTATCACAACCCCCAGTCACGTCTGCCTGTCTCTTGGCGACCGTAAAGCATTCCCTTTTGTGAAATGTATGTGGTTTATCAGGTCAGTACTTTAGTTTGCTTTCATTGCCTGTTTCCCTTTTCTTCTCTTTTCCTCTTTGTTTTGCAAACGGTCCTCAAACACTTTCCACTCATGTGAACCTACCTCATTCAACTCCCTGCCTGCTCTGAATTGGCAAGTGTATATAGCTCATTACAAACTTGGGTAGTCTGGCAGCTTAAAGTCACTCATTTATTACCTCACTGTAATGTCCATCAGAAGTTGAAACATGACTGCATTTTCTCAGGCCTATCTTAAAATGTGACACTGCTCTGACCTGGGGACTTGGGGACTAGTCTACTATGAGGGTTGCTCAGGTCTGGGCAGACTACAGCTCTGTCTATACTGCCTGGAGCTCTCAGCCCTGTATCTCGGCTCCCTCATGGTCTGTGCATCATCATATCTGTACTGCCGGAGGCTCTCATGGTCTGTACATGTTCATGTCTGTACTGCCTGTGCCTCTCATGTGCTCTGTGCATCTTCATATCACGCTTGGCATGCCAGATACTTCACGAGCGTTAGATTTCTCAGATTTACCTTTTCCTTACCAGCTGGGGATTTGATGTGATGGGATCAGGTCCCCTTAGATAATCTCCCTGTATGAAGGTCACCTGCCATATGACTGAATATATGTATGAGTGGTATTTAATGTTCACAATATCCCAGGACTACGGTGGGGCATGTTTGGGACACCATTTTTCAGTCCGGCCTCCCAAGTAGATTTTGCTACATTTTCTTAAAGACTAGATGCAATGTGGAATCTAAAACCTTATTAATAAGATTTTCATACATGTTTATATTAAGGCCACTGGTTGATATGCAAATGAAATGTATCTTTGCCCATGCCTGTTCTGAAGCATGGTGGATTGAGTCATTTGTAAAACACCAGGTTATTAGAGTATGCATGTAGATGGAAATTTGAAACTGTCTACATGTGCAGACCTTTCAAATGGTGACACAGTTCTTTAGTAGTATCCAAAGAGCACATTCATTAATGTCACAATAGTCTCATTGAGAAAGTGATGGAGGTACTCTTAGGTTCATGGCAGCAAAAGCATGTTCTCTAATTTTTTAATTCTAATTTTAATTTAAAATATTTTTTAATCCCTCGCCATAAAACTTATCAGCCTTTTTCTTTAAAGACTAAAGCCCACTTCACTTTGGAGAAAATAACTGCCAAAGGTCTGCACTCATTATAACTTTTTAAGAGCTCATTTAATGGGATGTGTTTGATACAGAGTACAGACTAGTGTATAAAAAGTATGTATTTATTGACATTATTTAATCCTTTGCCTTGGTGTGTGGTAAAGGTTTCAGAGAGCACATCTGTCACCATATCTTCTCGCGTGCTTCTCTGGTTCCTCCTGACTTTCCTGCAGAACCCCAGTCACCCACGGTGCTGTGCCTGTCCTGCTAGTTAGCATTTCTTAAACCTTTGTGAAAAATGGCATCGTACAGTATGCATTTATTTTTTCTAAAGTCTTGTACTTAGCATAATTATGAGATTAATCTACTTTTATGTTTTATTTTTTACCTAGCATACAAAATAATGGTTTTGTGTGACATTTTCATGTATAGATATTGTTGTGCCTTGTTTATAATAATTTCTCTTCCCTGCCCTTCTCCATCTTTATTGGTCCCCTCCATTCTCCTCAAATAGTCTTCCTCTTGCTTTCATGTTGGTGTGGGGGGGGATACTTTTGCCTAATATTCTAAAGTCATCAACATTTTGCTTGACATTGTCAGTTGTTCTACCCATGTTATTGTCTCCATTTCAACAAGGTTAGTAACTGCTTTGCAACTGTCCAGTGTGAAAACCGTTTCTACAATGAAAGATTAAACCCCCCCTGCCCTTGTCAGATAAATAAGCCCTCTGGAATCATAAACCCCAAATACAGCTTGTACCAAACTAATAATTCGGAGTGTGAGCATCTGAGAATTACAGTTTAAAGTGAATATTCCAGGATGAGCCTGTCTTCATTTACATCATGTCTTGAATTATGAATACTTTACGGAAAGTCCGTTCCGAATGGTGGTGGGGACAGTAATCACAGAAGAGAGCTTTCAGATGTGGTGACGCTTCCTTCACAGTTCAAGTGATAGACTTTGGAAGGCTTAGAGTCCAGTGAATGCTGCTTGTCCGCGTGTGCGTGGTCAGATCCGAAATGCCTCCGATAGCATGGAGGAAGGCAGCAGAAGCCGGTCCACCAAGTACTACAGCTTGGCAAGGCGTGAAGGCCTCTTCACCAGAGTTTGGTGACTGCCCCTGCTCTTTGATTCATATCTTCCTGAAGAGACTGATTATTGGTTCTCAAGTCACAAAGACACATGGCTCTTGACAGACCTACAAAACTAACTGAATTTAAAGATGAACTTTAAAAGTCTTAAGATGATTGTAGAGTTTTATGGCGGTTTGGGCATTATGAAAATATATCGCAACCTAATAGTATGATTTGAAAGAGAAAAGTGAGTTCATTCAGTTTCTACTGTCTGAATATCTGTGGTTAGGAATCCAGACATGGTCATTAATATGACTCCCATAAGCACCATTGCACTTCCAGAGAAACTTTTCAGTTTCCAGAATTCTTCTAATTATTCTGCTCTGTAATTGTGGCAGTTAAGTTTCAGTACTTTTTTTTTGCCAAAAGAGTAAATTATTTTAAAAAGTAAGAATTTGACTCTTCTCCATGTTGGAATTTGATGTTTTCATTTGATTTTTGCATCAATTTCAGTCATGTGCCCTCACAGCTATGAATTTAGCTGAGAAATCACTGACACTGACAGCCGCGGGTGACATTTAGCCCTGGATGCTGGCCTGACATTTGTTTCTTCCTCTCTTCATTGAGAACGGGCACACACTGCTGACAAGGTCTAAGGAGCGTGGCTCTTGGCTCCCAGAGAGAGAGCCTTAGAGTATGAAGTGGCATCTTTGCCTACATGATGTTACCCTGTTGTCGGTTGAGTATCATTCCTCAGTAGCAAGGAAAGGAGTCTCAAAGTAGTGTTCATGCAAAACTTGGAATTGGTATATCTGATTTAATTTTTTGATTGATTTGAGATAGGGTTTCCTCCATGTAGCCCTGGCAAGCCTAGACCTCATTTTCTAAAGCAGGCTGGCCTCCTACTCACTGATATGTGTCTGCCTCTGCCCCGGCCTCTAGAGTGCTAGGATTACAGCCATGAGCTACCATACTGAT